TATCGCTAATCGCGAGCAAATGTGAATACGTCAAATCTGACGTTTTTTAAAACAGCTGAAAAATTCGTTTCCGGGTTTTCCGGAAATCTTCCGGTTTTACATTACCGGCCTCACTGGTGTCCGTGTGAGAGCAAACGTTTAAAATTTCAGCCCGATCGGGCCAAAATTGACCGAGTTATGCCCAAAAACGCATAAAAACGGGTATTTCATTTGGAAAAAATGCCTAAAAAATAATTTTCCGTAATTTTCAAAATTTTTGATTTTTTTCTTTTTGGTCTTCCAGAGGAAGTTATTTTACACAAATTTAGTGAAGGAATTTTTTCTCGGCCGTAAATTAAGCGAGTTATGGATGTAAAAATGTACATGGAAGAAACGTCAGATTTTGACGTTTCTTAAATTTTGAATTTAAAAAAATCATATCTCGAAAACTAACAAAGCTAACCTTACGCGGTTTTCACCAAAAAATTCGCCATAAAAATGTCTTTTTTAATGTCGTATACAGGATCTTGCTAAAATAAAGATTTCTGCCAAAAAACTGAAAATTAAATAAAAAACCGACAACTTTTGAATTAAAAAAAATCATATCTAGAAAACTAATAAAGATACACCTATGCTGTTTTCACCAAACGATTTGTCATAAAAATATCTTTTTTTAATGTGATATACATTGTCTTGCTAAAATTAAATTGTCTGCACCAAAAAGGGAATTTAAAAAAAAATAATAAAAAAAATTGACGAATTTTTGAAAAAAATGTCCAAATCTTTTTTGATTTTGATAGTTTTTTAATGGGACATTTGCACCATGAGCCTACACATTGTTGCCAAATTTCAAGTCGCCATCTATTATAGCACAAGAAATATTAATGATTTTGTAAAATAAATCGCAGAAGAAGAAGAGGAAAACATTTTAATATTTTTTTATGGCAAATCAATTTATAGGAATATGGTTTACCCTCATGTTTGGTCAAATTTAAAAAAATATAAATAGAAACAGCATAAAAAAATTAATTAAAAATTGCCTGCATTTTTTAAAATAGCAACAAAAATAAATTGAGCAGTAGGCCATGTTAGTTTGTTTCGATGATTTTTAATTTTTAGTATGTTAAATAACAATCCTTTGCACATCTATATGTGTTTTTCGTTTACTTAAAGTCTTCTTAGTTTTCGAGAAAAAAAATTTCAAAAAATTCCTGAAAAAGTCGAAAAAAAATTTTTTTTTCGAAAGTTGCAGGCCTGAAAAGCCCATATACTATACACTGCCATAGATGGTCCTCGTACACCTTTTCACCAAATTTGGTCTTTCCACGTCGATCCCTTCGACCTGGTGACGCAGACAGACAATACCCCAAAATTTCGTCGTAAAAATCGATAAAAAGTGCACTTGTACCTTTCTTGCGCTAACCAAATTTGGACTAGAGATGCGTCTCGTGGGGGTTAAAAAAGGGTGTAAATTTCAAGTTTCCACCGTTTAAGGTTTTCGAGTTATGAATTTTTAAAAATTTGATGACAGATTCACAGACTAACAGACATCCAGACATCCAGACATCCAGACAACAGAAAAAATGAAAGTTGTTCAGAATTTGATTCCGAGTCGATCCATATATATAAAGGCATATCTAACTACCCGGGAAGTCGCATTTTCAAAAATTCCCCTGCTCCTATAAGTCTTGGAGTCTTTGACTCCAACGACTAACAAGGAATGTTTACAAGTATAAAATATTTACAATTTATAACAAACAATAATGATATTTATTTGGATAGAGCAACAAAAATAACCGCAACCCAAACGACATTTAACTTAGTGAACTCTGAAAGAAAATGACTTCCTACAAACCGTTAAAACCACACAATATCTTCTTACTGCGACTACAACCCACATCTAATATAAATAAATAAATATATAAATACCATCACATAAATAATACATCATACTAGAGCTTAGCTGTCGTATGTGTTTCTCGTTTTTCATTTTTATTTTTAATTTGTTTCTTTGTTTGTTTATTTGTTTGTTTATTGGGTGAAAGCAGATTGAGTCTTAGTCTCCATTTTTGTATTTTAAATTTAACTTTATTCATCAAGCATTCCATCTGCATTAGGCCTCCATCATCCAAATAAAGTTTTTATAATTATTTACTGTTGAATTTAAGTTTACTGTTACACAATTTTTCATGTAATATTTATTAGAGTTCAGGCTCAATCAACTATTAGAAAAAAGGAGTCGAGGTCATTCCAATTGAGGGTCCGCAATTGCCCGTTATGCCTCATTAGTCGGCAAACTTTAATAACTTAATAATTACCATAAAATACTAGGTAATAAATTGACCAAATCACAAAAGGCAATGTCTGCGTTGCGCATTCAGATGAATACAGACCTTTAAACACCTCTTAAAAGGAGTAAATAATAATCGGCTTCGAGGTCATTCCAATTGAGGGTCCGCAATTGCCCGTTATGCCTCATTAGTCAGCAAACTTTAATAACTTAATAATTACCATAAAATACTAGGTAATAAATTGTACAAATCACAAAGGGCAATGTCTGCATTGCGCATTCAGATGAATACAGACCTTTACAAACCTCTTAAAATTTAATGAATGGTAATTCAAAATGGGCTTGTTGTATCATGGACTCCACGGGCAGTGGATAAATTAAATGTCGCTATCGTACAATCACTGTTGCCACTCACTCCAAATGTAATACCAAATAATTTAATATGACTGGTAAAAATCACTTAACTAATTACGGGACATAAATATGAATCTACGAGTACAATTTTATAAATCCCGCATTTAAGAAAATCGATATTTAATACACTTACTTTACACAGCGTTTATGGTAAATCCCCTTTTTGAAATATTTATTAAAAATAATTAAATAAACCCGAGTACAATCCTGACATTTAGCTAAATTAAATCAAATACGGCCCTGTCCTTTTAATTAGATAAAATACCCGTAAAACCATGCTCTTTTAATTTGATAAAATCAAGTACCATTTGTTTATAACTTAGAATCTAAATTATAATACGAAATACCTAGGGCGCAGTGGGGTAAAAATGAGACAGTCACATATAATTTTACTAAACAGTGTTATTGGGGCACTAAAGTAGCTATTTGTTTACTATATACTTATATACTTAAATACATATTGATAAGCTCATTAAAATTATAGCTAATATTCAATAAATTACTTTGAGTAAACAAATTGCATTTTAGACATCGAAAACTTTTAAATCGAAGCGGCAAACTTTTGCTGCAAAGCTTAGTTAAAGAATGCGACGAGCTCGGTTAAAGTCGCGCTGTGTTCGGTAATATTGGCGGAATATTTTACGACGTTGCGCAGTAGTTTAGAACTCGCTGTTAAGGAGTGAGGAGGTGTGATTTGGGTGGGGTAAATTTGAGACGGCTGCTGAGGTAAAAATGAGACAACGCATGGGGCAAAAATGAGACATAATTATTAAATTTTTTAGATACAAACGGACCAAAAAATGCCTAGAAAATATGTGCCAAAAGCAAAAGCGTACGTCGAGGCAGATTTAGACAAGGTGCTTACCCTAATAAAGCAGGGTACACTATCTATAAGAACTGCTTCGAAAATGTTTAGAATCGACAAATCGAAATTAAGCAGATGTATTAACAATAAGAATTCTTCAAAACGTGACCGAAAAGAAGCTTTGTCAAAGAAACAAGAACAAGACTTAACTGAAAAAATTATTGTGATGGCCAAATGGGGGTTTGCTCTTTCCAAAGGAGAAATACAGTCGGTGGTTCAAACTTACGTGAACGAAAATAACTTGACAACAGTTTTTAAAAATGGAAAACCCGGCGATGATTGGTTTCGCATGTTTTGCAAGAGAAATAATTTAAGCCAAAAAAAGTTGGAACAGTTGGAAAAGTACAGGAGAACAGCTACCAGTGACCCCTTTATTATTTACTCATTTTATGACAGACTTGAAGAAATAATAAACCAATTGGATTTGCATGACAAACCATCACACATATTTAACTTGGATGAAACAGGTTTCAATTTGGACCCCGGAAGAGTAAGGGGTGTTGCTGCTGTAGGCCAAAGAGTACATAGGAGCATCCAGGGCTCTGGGAAAGAAAATGTAACAACCATGGCTTGTATTTCAGCGAGTGGAGTGTTACTTCCTCCGCTCATTATATATCAAGGGCAAAATCTATGGAGTACGTGGAAGGGCACAAATGATTTGCAGGGTACTTGCTATGCTGTCTCCGAAAAAGGCTGGATGACAACTGCTGTTTTCAATGGTTGGTTCATAAAATTTTGCGAAATGGTTTCGCAAAGGCCCCTCTTAATTATAATGGATGGCCACGTATCGCACCTGGATAAAGGCACCATTGAATGTGCCATACAAAATAACATCACCTTGTTTAAACTACCACCACATGCCACAGACATTTTACAACTTTTGGATTAATGTTGCTTCGGACCACTTAAGCTAAAGTGGAACCAAAGGCTTATCGAATGGCAACAATTAAATCAGAGAAGGCTTACAAAAAGTGAGTTTGCGGATATGATTTGTGAATTATGGAATGATGGAATTTCAACAGCTGTCATAAAAAAATCATTTGAATGCACTGGAATATTTCCCTGCTGCAGGGAAAAATATCCAAAGGAGCGACTGAATCAAGTCAAACTGCAAAAATACAATGAAGGAACCAAAAAAGGTAATCCACTCGACATTTTTGACCAACAGGATGAAGACGAGGAAAATAAGCAAGAGGAAGGAAATCAAGAAAATACCAAGAAGATAGGAATGAAAATGAGGAGCGTAACAATTACGACAACGGGAAAGATGCAGGAAATACATCAACCTGTACCGTCCAGGAAATTCTTGCCACTCCATCCACTTCATCTACTTCCTTTGAAAGTATTTTACTCGGCAAAATAAATAAAACAAATTCTGAAACAAAGCGAAGACGTAAAGTTGATTCTAATTGTGTAGTGCTAACGAGTTTGGAATATTTAGATCGCATTAAGGAAAAAGAAGCTGTGCAAATCAAGAAAAAAAAACCTGCACAAAAATCGCAAAAGCAATTGTCTATTCATCATCGGAGAGTGAAGCAGAGAACGTGATTTATGAAGAAGAGAGTGACATTGAAGGTATCACACTTGAAGAACTAAATAGAAACGATAATCCTTCGGATGAAGAAATTTATTCAAGAGAGATCGTTTCTGGGGACTACATTTTAATCAAGTTCGTTACAAAGAAGAAGGTTGTGCATTACGTGGCGCTAGTTGAAAATGTTGATGAAAACGAGTTTGGAGTGTCGTATTTGCGCCGAAAAGGAGACAAGTTTATGTTTCCTCAAGTGCCTGAGAAATTCGATGTACCGAAGGAAGATATCGTAATGAAATTGCCCGTTCCAACGTTCCACGGAGGAACACCTCGAGTTTCTCAAAAACTTGTGTTTGCCATTAACTTTGCCAAATTTAATGTAAACTAAATATCATTAGTTTTTAGGTGTAATTTAAGAATATTTATAGTTTGTGTATATCTTTCAATATTTTGCTTGCCAGAATATGTTTTTGTTGCGTATTACAAAGGTTTTTTGGAAAAATTAAACAATTTTTCGTATAAATTCTGTCTCATTTTTAACCTGGCCTGTCTCTTTTTTAACCAGAAATATTAAATAGCACAATATACGCTTGAAAACACAGTGTCTCATTTTTGCCCATGACTGTCTCAATATTACCCCCAGAGCCGGGTAAAACTGAGACATGATTTTTATTTTTTTCTTGAAAAACAGTTTTAGTTTGGTAAAACTTTCTATACTTATATTGTTCCCCATAACATTCAGCATAAGATAGTAATTTTTTGGTAAAAAACTTCTTGCAATAAGTTGACTAAAAATTAAAAGATTTGAAAAGTGTCTCATTTTTACACCACGGGCTTGTTGTATCATGGACTTCACGGGCAGTGGATAAATTAAATGTCGCTATCGTACAATCACTGTTGCCACTCACTCTAAATGTAATACCAAATAATTTAATATGACTGGTAAAAATCACTTAACTAATTACGGGACATAAATATTAATCTACGAGTACAATTTTATAAATCACGCATTTAAGAAAATCGATATTTAATACACTTAATTTACACAGCGTTTATGGTAAATCCCCTTTTTGAAATATTTATTAAAAATAATTAAATAAACCCGAGTACAATCCTGACATTTAGCTAAGTTAAATCAAATACGGCTCTGTCCTTTCAATTAGATAAAATACCCGTAAAACCATGCTCTTTTAATTTGATAAAATCAAGTACCATTTGTTTATAACTTAGAATCTAAATTATAATACGAAATACCTAGTTTAAACGTAATGTCAATGTCAGATCAAGCTTGCTATGGAAATAAGTGGTCATGGTCTCAGAGATCAATTTCCGCCGGTTGACCATTTCTAAAAGCATTTCGTGGAAATCTCGCCTCCTTGGGAACGCCGCCGCCAACAAACTCTTCCACTGGTCCCACGAGTGGTCACATGACTCCAACCTCCTGAACCATGCCCTCGCCGCGCCGGTTAATTTCGTTTGCAACATAAAGCTACGCTCGTAGCCACTCCAGCCATGGATATGGTCCAGCTGGTCGATTTTATTTAACCACCTGACCACATGGCAATTAGGTTCTTCAGGGTCGAACCGCTCCACCATCTCCGCCGCCATAGTAAAACCCCGTTTACTTACCACCTCGCTTATCGCCGTCGACGATTCTTTCGAAGAACTCGCCACGCCTGGAGAGTTTGCTCTCAAATTGACAGCCACCTCAGCCGCCTGCCGCTTGGCTGCTTTTACCAGCTTGTCGGTTAGCCCCCTCGCCAACAAGGCTTCCACTACCTTGTCCACCTGAGCATCAGAGCCCATCCGAACTGCTCGCCTCGCCATGCCCTTGCCTTGGAGTCGAAGTGGGCCCCAAATTCAATTCGCCGGCTAGCGAATCCACGTCGTCATCGCCACGGATAGATAAAACATCCTCCTTACTCATTGCTATGCTTTTCTCGCGCGCCTCACGAACGAAAAACTAACAAAAACACTGATCGTTTTATCGTATATAATACCACTAGTGGTAAAATTTTACCGATAAAATTTTTGATTTTTATACAAATGTTTTTTTCTTGGAAATTTCGCAAGTGGCATTAATTTTTAAGACCACGAGCCGCTAGGCGAGTGGTTTGAAGTTAATGCCACGAGCGAAATTTCCAAGGAAAAATCTTGAGTTAATAAAAATCAAAAATTTTTTCAGGGAAAATTTTATCACGAGTGGTATTCGGCAAGACTATTTCACGAATATTTTTAACTGCTGATTCAATTTCTGTATGATTTTTTGGACCAAAACGCATATTTTTTAACATTTTAATTTTAAAATTAAAAACGTCAACAGTGACAATTATTTTTATCATAGCAACCAATTGGTTGTTATGCAACTCGTATAAACGAGTGGTTTTTTCACCTGAATAGTAGTTTTATCGCTGCAAAACTGAAAAAACCACTCGTTTTCTGAAATCTGATTGGTCCAAAAAGTAATGAGTGGAATAGTCAACAAAAAATGGTCGACGCCCACGCCGTTTCTTTGTCACGATTTTTCTCGCCACACACCGAATATACGCCACTAACTAAAGCACGTAGCACTATCGCACTTCTGAATTGTTAACCCAGGCAACACAGGGTCGTAGAAATCACGTAGAATCGTCGACGAATTGGGTCGAATTTGGTCGAAGTTACATTTCAACCATTTTTCGACGTCTCAAAATTCACCAAAACACGACCAATTATTAACTTACGTCGATGATAACCAATAAATGACGTCATTATCACGTGAACAGATGACGAAATTTTTAAGAAAATATGAAAATATAGTGATAATTAATAAGAAACAGTTTGCCCGTTTTAATGGGCCGACAAAAAGTTTTGGAATATTTTTAAAAACAAAAATTATTATTTTTATTTAATTTACCTTATTTCGTAGGAGAATCAACGTGCAATATTTTATTAAAATAATTTTAAACATTATTTGGTTTTAAACTAATTAAGATAGATTAATAATTATTGATCAATAGATTTTTTAAAACAAATTCGCAATTTTTAAATCCTTTATCATTTTATCACAAAATAAGAAATTAACATGTTACTGCAGTTGACAATTACAATTTTAATTTTAGTAAAATTATTTATCTACAGTGTTGCCAGAAGTTTTATAATTTTCTTTTTTAAAATAGTAAAATTTAAATAATAATCGATAATTGTAACATAATTTAATCCGCCGCGTAGTTTTGCTTGTTTTTATACAATTTTTGTTTTGATAATTTTATATAATTTTCTGTAAATTTGATCATTTTGTCAACCATCTTCCATAATATTAATTTTTACACCTGGCAACCATGTTTCTCTTTTGCCTTGGGTAAGTTGGCACTACTTACAAGGCGAGGGAACGTTTATTCCTAAAAAACAATATGGTGGATTCAAGGGTCCAACTTTTATAATCTGTGGCATTTATACATAGAACAAACCATTTATACTGATAATACTTTGGCTGTGTCAGGTAGGTCAATTTTTGTTTGTTTATTAATGTTTTAATTACTCAGTATATTCCGTAACGAAGTCATAACACCTAAATGAAGTACCTACATATATGTATAAGCTCCTAAAATATTGACCTGTCATCTGTCTTAAAATTTAATGTGTTTGATTTTATAATAAATGTTTTGAGCAACTTAACATGTTTTATTAATTAATAATCCAAAAGCCCTTTATGCACTGGTAAAAATAATTATTTATTCTTATATCCGATATTTTAATGCCAGATATATGCCAGACATATGTATGTGTTTCTGCAAAGATTAACTAACAAATTTTTTTTTGATATTCTACTTTTTTACATACATTTATTTTGATTATTAATTATTTACTAAATATATATCTACTATAGTAGTATATATATATATATATATATATATATACTATATATAGTAGGGTTTACCTATTTATTTCTTAAAATTTAAAAGTACAACTAAAAATTTTTTGTTTTTTTAATTTTGCAAAATCACATTTCGCATTGAAATATCTGATATCAGTACCTATCGGTAATTATTTTTATGTGTATGACCTAATCATATATTCAAGAAATATTACGTGATTATTCACGTCAAATTACGTAAATAATTACGTAATATTATGTGATTTTACACGTGAAATCGCTGTGACATATTGTCGTCAATTTTACGACGATAAGACGTGTCTAAGTTGGTGACTTCGACGTCACCGTAGACGTCAATTAAACGTGATATTCACGTCACTGTGTTGCCTGGGAAATCGAATGGTTTTATAATAATATACCACTTTAAATCAACGTATTTATTCTTCAAAATAATTCCGCTGCAAATTAGTGTTGGGATCACTCGAGTGAAAAATAACCTATTACCCGGTTATTGAAATAACCTAAATTATTCGGTTATGAGTTTTGGATCCAAGTGATAAATAACCGGTTATTTGCGCAGTGTATATTTTTAAAATAACCTGGTTGGCAAAAGTCTCAAACTCCGTGGTAAATAAAGGTATCTGTAATATACAGGTTATATTTTTAGGAATCTGCTCGTTTGACAGTTGAAGTCTGTTTAAAATTTGAATTTATAGAAATTTGTTAACAAAAATTAGCATTAAATTTAAATTACTACGTGGAAAAACTAAAAATGTAAACACTTGTATTAAAAATTAAATAATAATTTTTTGCCTACTAAAATTATGTTGAAAAACTACCAAAAAAGTTCATTTTCATTTTCTGGACAGTGACTATAAGTTTAATTTAAAACACCAACGCTTAAACTACTGCCCTAAATATTATCAAGGACTGAAAGCATTTATTATCAATATTAAGTTTAATAAAAACGCACTATGTCCAGAAATTTCTCTATTTTCTTTGATAATATTACTATTATTCGTGTATTCGCACGGCAACTACTCATCAAGTGACGTCATGCGCGGGACGAACCAAAACTCGTACACGGGAGCATCCAGCCCTGCGGTTAACTTAGCGGTTCCTTGGATTATATACGTGGGTCAGAATTTCTCAAACGGGCCACCTGAATTAGGTCAAAATTAGTTTTTGATTGTAGATACATTTTTTCGATAGTATTTTACATCACTAACACAAATCCTAAAGGATTTTGAAAAAAAAAAATTTTCAATTGACATATTCATGATATTAAAAGTAAAAGTTTTTAGTAATTAAAAAATAAAAAAAAATCATTATGGCTAAACTAATTATCCGATTCCAACGATTTAACTAGCGTTGGAATCTTGTTTTGACATAGATTCTTTGTTATTTTTTTCAATTGTACAATTTTCATTTAGGTCGATTTTTTTTTGTTTTTTTTATAACAAATTCGGAAATAATTGGCTTCTGCGCCAGCTATCGACTCGAAAAAAAAAAACACATATACTCCAATCATT